CAATCAAAGGTGTTGATCACAAAAGTGATGAAGAAATCATTCAAATCATTTTGACTGAGAGAAGATACAACAACCTGAAACCTATCAACACTCTGAAAATTTGTTTTCTCAAATTAAAAATTGAAAAAACATTCCACAGGCTATAAAAGAAATCTATTATCCTGAAGAAATCTCAACATTATCAGAAGTTGTATTGGGAGGCAAGCCATCAGTAACATATATTAACAAATAAATAATTCTATAAAATGAATTCTTGTTTGGGAAGACAAAAGATCCAACTGATTTTTCTATTCATGATAAAAGTTATAGAAGTTCAACAACTAATTTCATTTGAGACACATACATGTTGTTTCCTAAGAATTAAGTTTAGGTTTGAATGTTCAACCTCTTTTAGCAACGGTAACTAGATACGATTAATTTCCACAGAACTATCTAGGAAGTGAAGATTTGATTTTTTTTATATTCATTCATTTATTCCCAAGAAACTACATTGGTTTATACAAGGAATTATTTATATAAGAAGTATTCATACATAAATATATAACTTTAAATGGAGATATTTCAGAATTGGTCTAATTAATATCAAAAATAACAAACAAATAGTATTACGTTAATCAATGAAACAAATAGTTCCTGAGGATAATTTGAATTTTTTGTGTTGGAAAATTGCACTATTTGTAATTATTTCTTTGTTAAATATAGGTTTTCTGGAAAATGCAGATTTGGGATTTTTTGTAACAGATTATTGAGCAGTTTTGTTTTCTATGTTCTATAAACTTCATATTAAGATGTTTTTTATTTTTTATAACGGACCGCAGAAAAGTAGGTACATACTTTTGATTTATAAATATAATCGATATCAAGTTAAAGCTTTGGTTTATATAGATTTTCAGTTGGTTCTAAAAAATGTAGATGAATAAAACATTCAACAGCTCTATTCTATAAAGTTCTTGATGGTCAAAGTTGAATTTGAAGCAGTTATGCATATACTAATCGATAACTGTAATTTTGAATGAATGGGTGAGAAGTAAATTAGCTTCAAATGCTTCAAAGAGATATAGTTCCTCATTTTGTCTTTGGGTGGTCCGCTCCTAACGAGAATATTACATGTGAATTCATTTGCAACGAGCTCACTAAACTACTGGAAGTTGAATTGAAAGTATCAGACATTATTAACTACTCACCCATATCATTCACTTCACACCTGAACAAAGTATTCGAATAGACAAAAAAAAAGGTTAACATCGTATGTTCTCAAAATATAATATTATATCTGACCATCAATTTGGGTTTCGTGAACAATTATCTACCCAAGGCGCAATCTTAGCTTTTACTTCAGAAATATAATCATCTCTTGATGACGATAAACCGTGCTTATGCGTTTTCATTGACTTGTCAAAAGCATTCGACCCAGTTGACTACAACCTATTACTGAAAACACTATAACATATTGGTATAAAAGGTGATTCTCTGGACTTGTTCAAGAGCCATCTCGCCAATAGACTTCAATGTGTAAAAATCGATGACATTTCGAGTGACATACAAGAAACTGTCATGGGAATCCCCCAATGCACAGTTCTGGGGCCAATTTTATTCAACATATATGTTAATGGACTATATTCCATCAGGAGCAGAGGTAAAATATTGGGCTTCGCAGATGACACAATTGATACAGCAGATAGCTGGGAGCAACTGGAACATGTAATTAAATCTGATCTGGTTGATTAAAAATCGGCTCGAACATCGATCATTGACAGTGAACCTGGAGAAAACTCACTATATACCTTTCAGCAAACCTTGTTTTCAACAACTGAAAATTGATCAATATGTAATACTTCCCTGAAATACTTAGGAGTAATATTAAATGGGATGCTCATATTCAGTATATTTGTAATAAGTTGCGTTGCATACTTTTCAAATTTAAATTTTTGGTAAAAATTTTAACGAATTCTAACCTCAAAGTTTTGTACCATATACTTGTAGCGAGTCACCTGAGCTACGGAATTGCTTGTTGGTAAGAAAGCTACCATACGCACCTTCGACTGTTTGAGGTGCTCCAAAACAGGTTCCTGAAATTAATATTGTCTAAACCGCCTTATTATTCAACTGAAACTCTGTTCAACGCAGCAAAAGTTTGCTATATTCGCCAGCTCTTTTATTATAATATTATCATCTATCACCATAAGAACAGAAACTTCGCTCTACCGACTCACTTGCACAACACCCGCAGAAAAATGATCATGTTATTCCTCAGACACAAAAATCAATTTTCCATCACTCTTATACTTACCTGGCTCCGAAACTGTATAATACTATTCTTGAGGAGATTCGTTCAAATTCATATCTATATATTATATCTGTGTTTTAATGAATTCTTGAAATTGTATTGTTTTTGTTATACGAAGCAAGTGATCTTGCACTTATCGTCATGTAGCTTTACTCAACTATTATAATTATTATTATGTTGTGTGTTGAATATTACTGGAGTTTTTCCCCAACACCAAATCGTTATTTTAACACCTCGATACGTGTTTCGATCGCCAAGTGATCATCTTCAAGAGGAAGATGATCACTTGTTCAATCTTTCTCTTGAAGATGATCACTTGGTGATCGAAACACGTGTCGAGGTGTTGAAATAACGATTTGGTGTTGGGAAAAAACTCTAGTGATATTCATTACTACATCAAAGGTTCCAAACAGTTCATCACATGTTGTGTGTTATTATCATTATTATTTTATGAAGAATCCCAATGATTCAAGCTAGCTTTTTCTGAATGATATCGATCTGAATATTCCAGGAAAGAGTTCCATCTATATGTGAAATTAAAACCTGTACTAGCACTATTTGGAAGATGTTGCCTTACATGACTTTTTATCAATAAACATAAATAACGATTTTTCAAAATACAAAGTTATTTTGTGTATATTTAGCGAAATATCTATTTGTTCCGAATCGGCTTCCATTTGGTGGTGTATTGATTGTGAATCTTGTCTACAATAGATCAAAGTTGTATTATCAGCAAATAGTTTCAATTTTTCAGGAAGCTGTAATTCCGAAATGGAATTTATATAAATGAGAAAGAGTGAAGGTCCTAATAAAGATCTCTGCGGTACTCTACAAACAACTGTTTTCAAAGAGCTACTCTTATTTTCCAAAAACACATATTGCTTTCTATCACTTGAGCAATTTGTTAAAAAAAATCATGATTAACAGTATCAACAACTCCATAGAATTCCAATGGCAGAATTCCACATTGGAGATCGATGACTTCTTCAATGAAAATTCTAAATTGTTTCATAATATTCTATTGATTGAACATTTATTAAAACAATGATAAAAATAAAAACAACAATAAAAATTGATTGTCGCTACGGGGCGACTTCATTGATTCCAGTAGCGCATTTGCTTTTTCAGCTGCAGGAAAACCCGGAAAAACCTGCAGCACCACATCATCTGAAGATCTTGATATATTCCATCTCTCAGTATTCCCTACAAATAATATATGACGACCTGACTATACTTTTTCAACTCACGTTTCATAAAGAACAAAACCAAAGAAAGAACAAAAAATCAGCTGGATATCAATCCGATGAAAATAATTTCATACCATTTTGTTCCCATAATTTTTCTATACTTTACAGAGTAAATACACGCCCGGAGAAGCCATCGTATGGCGAAACACGTGTTGCGTTTTTGTAAAACTGTTTAGTGAGAATCTCGCAATTGTTGAAATTCGTGCGAACTGAGTATTAACAAGTTCTCACCTTTCAACTCGTGATTCCTATATATGTAGAGTTTCTGCGAGGAATATATTGAAGAGTACATAGCTCATTTTTGTATATTAATGTTCTTTCATATAATCATCGAAACAGAAACTAATTTCGAAATATAATGAACAAAAAGACCCCATGGTCAAATATGATGAATTTTACCAACATTTTTCCAATGAATCTTTGATAATAATATTCATGTGCCCTGTGTAGAATTAAAATTTAATATTTGTTATATAAACCGCAATATTATTGTATTTCACTAGAGCTGTCTTTGAAATCTATATTGAATATAATTGTTACAACATTCAGTAAGGAACATTCTTAGTTTAGAAGAGTTCGTTCTTGATATATGCTTCAAAAGGAAATAAATAAAAAAATGCTGTAACTAAAATTAAATGAAGGCTGCTTTCATATAAATTTATTCGTATCGGAATAATATCCAGCTGGTTTTTGTTATTTTCATTTTTGTTCGTTATGAAACGTGAGTTGAGAAAGTATAACCAGGTAGGCATAATTTTTTAAGGACAAAACAGAAGCATCACAAAACATTCTTTAAGGCGAGAAATACTGGGAGACAAAATATTGTAATAATTGCCATTATAAGGGAAATGGAGAAGGTTAATTTAATTTCTTGAAAATAAGAATTCATTTGTGAACAGCATCTCTCTGCCGGGTCAGTTCAATATTTAGATAAGCATTTTCGCGATTACATTTTAACGGTCACATTGAACCCAGTGGCAGAAAACGGGCTCATGATGACTTAGCGTCTGGAGGAATATAATATATGATTGTAAGACTTTGTCGGTTTCGCCGTCGCCATGTAAGTTAGAGTACCCAAATAACCGTATACATTACATGTGCCCATAATCACGTTTCTTAGGAACGATTGAGAAACCGCTGACCCAAGGTCTGGCGGGTAATTGTGTTGACTCGGAAAAGAGCCGCCATAACTAAATATTCTTGTATTTTATTTTTATATTCAAGTGGTTTATACGGTTTTCTTTTCATTTATTTGTATATATATATCTACTCTTTACACGATGGTAAATTGTGGAGGCTCATAATTGCAATACTGCATACTGCAATCTATAACTTTGTTAAATTTTGGTAACAATTATTCATTTTTTTTTAATATATCTATAACCGCACATTTCTCTTTTATTGGCTCGTTAAATTGAGTAAGTCCCTGTCCTATAGAATAATTAATCGGCCTTCAGCTGATAAAATTAAGCTTCAACCTCAACAGGAGGAATTTCAAACGGGAAACCCTCAGTGTAGTTAAGGTTCAAAAGACCAACCTTCGTGCGTTTGGCACGAGTCCAGCAGCCCTACGGAATGGTGATATATTGGTGACAGATGGAGGACAGTAAATAATTAAATTTGATTTGAAAGGGTTATATTTTTAGGAGTGATTTCCCAAAAAATTAAATTTGATACTAAGTACAGTAATAATCTGGACTAACACCCCAGGTATTACAATATATTAAGAAATAATTTAGAATTTTTATTGACGAAGTTATCGATCACCAATATTGAATATATACTTTTCCCTGTTAATAATTCCAAATTGAGAAATGAATTCAAGAACTGAGCAACTGGTTAATGTATGTATATAGAATGTCTTTGAGAAAAACTATTGTTGATGATCCATAATCTATATTTGCTAATCTCAAAATTAGCTCAACCGATCTAGGAAAGGTTCCCACTTTTATATTGTGGCTAGATTCACTAAACATTCAGTGTTTGACTTTTTTCAATTGGTTTATAAATAAATGAAAACATTTATATCAATTCATAGATTCATATCAACAATATTTCGAAAAAAAGTTTTTGGCTTTCTACTACTCCATCTGATACAAAAAAATGGATGAGAGAATCTTCCAAAGAAAGGAAGGAAGTAATCAATTTGAAAATAAGTAACTCTATACATCCTTTCTTTGGAAGATTCTCTCATCCATTTTTTTGTATCAGATGGAGTAGTAGAAAGCCAAAAACTTTCTTTCCCAAAAATTAATCACTCCTAAAAATATAACCCTTTCAAATCAAATTTCGAAAAAAATACTACAAAAATATTCATAGTTGATGAAACAATAAATAAAATTTCGTGGACCTCAGCAACAGTTGAGGTCGAAATGTTATAAAGTAGATTAAATTGAAAGGGGAATATTCTCAGAAGAGATTAATGTTGATTGGGTAATGAAGGTTTTGTGCGAATTCTCTTGCTTTCCCCCTTTCTTTGAAAGATTCCCATATTTTCTTGGTACGAAGATAGAGAAGTTTGATGTAGATTTAAATTGAAAGGGGTATAACTTCAGGAAAGAATATTTTTTTAGGTGGGTTTCAGCTTCCTACTTCTACATCTTCTTACAAAAAATGCGGGGATCATCCAAAGAAAGGAAGAAAGCAAATAATTTCAAAAATGAACTTTCAGCCACAAAATGAAAAAAAAATCTTCTCAAAACGACTACTCTCATATAAACATTGTATCACACGAAAGAAAGAGTAATTTTGAAACAACTTTTTTCATAGGAACATTAAATTATAAATATTACTGGGGTTTCTTCCCAACACCAAATCGTTATTTTTAACACCTCGACACTTGTTTCGATCAGCAAGTGATCATCTTCAAAAAAAAGATAAAACATCCTCTTGAAGATGATCACTTGGTGATCGAAACACGTGTCGACGTGTTGAAAATAACGATTTGGTGTTGGGAAAAAACTCCAGTAATATTCATCACTACACCAAAGGTTCCAAACAGCACATCATAAGTATTGAATTATACCCAACTTTTTCTAATTCAGATTGTTCTCCGAACATTCGTTATGGAATTGAATCATTGCTACACAACATATGAAAGAATAAATAAATGAAATATATGGAAGAATTGAACACTGTCATCCTCAATGGCGGACATCAATGTTTCGCAATAAGACACTTGTCTCATTGCGACATCAGCACTTATCTAGCATTTTCCAAATTTTCCATTTTCAAAATGTTGTAATGACCGAAACTAGTCAACAAATATAGAACTATCGTGGAAAATAGACAAAATTGTGTTTTTATAGTGTATCCTCAGAGACTTATCTAGGTAACATCACAAAATGAAGCACTCATTTCATTCAAAACATTTTGACTTCATATGTAACGAATTACTTGAGTCTTGTCATGTCATGATGACACAACTCAATGACATTCATTGGTTCGTTTAATTCAATGCCAGCTAGGAATCTTTCGTTCATTTTGAAAAGAGTTATATTTTCAGGAGAAATTGATTTTTGGAAAAGAAAGTTTTGGCTTTGTACTTCTACATCTCCATACAAAAAATGTACTATGCTGTGTAACAATCCTCTGAATGATATCTGATTCAATTCCATAACGAATGTTTGGATCACAAACTGAATGGGAAAAAGTTAATGTGAAAGTTGTTGTTTCGAAGGGGCATTTTCTTTCAGTTTATTTCTGGAACTGACTTCTATCCATGATTTACTTGTCTTTGTGTAGAGTTCACTTTTCAATTGATTCCTTGGAAAGTTTCCCACGAATATTTTTGTTTTTGTTGATTCAGTCAGAGCTAGAATCATAAAAGCACCTACTCAAAAAACCTGATGCTACTGATTCTCATGAAAGGGCTTTTGAAGTGATGAAGTGCTTCATCACTGAAAGAATATAACAAGTGCAAATGAACAAATCCATCATCGTTAATAGGATCATTCCCATCATTTCAATTATGACATATCTCAAGATAGGGTTTGACGACCCCTACTATTCAACACTTGTTGAGAATAAAAAAAAATTAAGCGGATTCTTTGAGTTTTCTCATTATTTTGTGAGGTTTTCTGGTAATAATTTATATTTCAGTATTGTGCGATTACCCGTTGATTTTCAAATATGCTATGTTATCCCCGATGCAGTAAAATCTGTCTTCTCTTTATTCTCTTTACACATTTTAGAGAGTCTTGAGTTTCACCAATGCATGGCCAATGTTAAAAGCAATATAACTATTTCCAATCGAGTCATTTTCACCAGTGTAGTTTCAGGTTCAGAAAGAGAAAGGAATCAATTTCCGAAAGGTGAACCATCTTCGAAAAAGTTTAGTAAATAATTCTGAGTTAAAATTTATGAATGCGACAAGTTACTGACTAATTGGACTCTTCAATAGTTCATACACTAACTTTCCGGGGTAAATTTTTCGGTTTTCCCTTCATCACACTTCAACAAACTAATTCTCTTCCACCTTTGTTCATTTATCAGATTGTGGAAGGTTAGGAAACTCAAAAGAAGAGCAGGAGATACTGATTTTTTTACGAAAAGTTCTCAAACGGTATCTAGGTTTTTCAACAGAAAAACCATAGTGTAGGTATAGTTTTCGAAGTTGAAATTAATGGGAAAAAAAAAGTTCATTACTTGTTATTAATAATCTGCTATTATTCTAATTGAAGGGGTTATATTTTTAGGAGTGATTAATTTTTGGGAAAGAAAGATGGAGTAGTAGAAAGCCAAAAACTTTATTTCCTGCTATTATTGTTTTGAAGGAGGACTTCGGTGTAACTCTAAGTGTTTTATATTGAATGATATCATTTTCATATTGAAAAAATACTTTTGTTTGAAATTCTATAAATAATTTGTTTAAATTCACTCACCAGATCATCCCTGTCTTTGACACTCTGAACCAATTGTTCTTTTCCAATATCTGTCAGTTCATCTCGAATGAGATAAGGCTTTATTCTTCTGTGCTGTTCAAGAAATTTGTTGAAATCTACGACTAGATCTTTGATAACGTACATATGTGGAAGCGGATATATTTTCGTTGTACCTCGTGGTTTTATTTTGCTGAAATAACAGTCATGATGAATATTTAGATGGCAAAAATTTAATATAACGTTCGAGAAAATATGTTTGTCAGATACAAGCTATTCAATTCTCATACATTTCCTATAAAATTTCCAGGGAATCAACATACAGGGTGGCCCATTGGTGTGAAGAAGTACAGTATCTCGCCTTTATTTAGGAGAATGATAAAATGTTTCAGATAAAATTTATATGGTTTACTTACTGAAAATTTTTGGGAATATACGGAGTGTTACTTTGAAGCGGTGCAATCATCATTTTCTTAAACGAAGTTAATTGGTTGTGTTGATAATCTTCGAATGTCGTGAACTTGTTTTTTTTAATCAAACACCCAGTATGTTTTGTCACCATTTTTCAGAACTATTTCATTTTCACAAATTTGGATGAGATGAAATAGTCTCTACAATTGACACTTTTTGAGAAATTTATAATTCAACTTTCAATTTGTCAAAAATTGTCTTTCCATTTACGTATACGCCAGCTAGGATTCTGACACTTAGTTACTGTTACTGGAAATTAAAATAATCGCAATGTCAGACTTAAAACTGAAAATTGGTTGGGAAAAGTCTGGAAAACATGTTTTCGTTGAAGTATTTAGGACCAGGTACCCGAGTAGTTAGAAGCATCGCTTTTCAATCATTCTGTCGGTCGTGTGGGTTCAAATCCTAGCAACTGCAGAATATTTTTTCTGAGAGAAAGGGCTGGAATTCGCATGTTCAAACTTAAGACCTCGTTAATCCTTGGCTCGCACAAGTTTCGACTTCTGAGGGCTGCCCGTTCATAAGGGAACGACAGCTGGTAATCGGGAAACACTTTTTTCAATTCATGAGAGTAATTAATTGAAACGGTAACAAAAAAAAATATTCGAAATTTATAACAACTGCCCAAAGTGACCACCGGCTAGTTCCAAATAATAATGTATCCGGTTTTTAAATTCTTCATTAACTCGCCTCATCGTGCTGACTGAAATCCTCCTTTGTAGATGGAGGTGTTCTATGAACTTGATCTTCAACGTAGCTCAACATAAAATTATTTTTTTCATCGACCTTTTCTGAGTTACCTTCCACAATCTGAAAAATATAAAAATTATGATGGAGAACTTTAGTTTACCCCGATAATTTACTGCGTGAAAATCAAAGTATTTTTCACAAAGAAAATTCTTCTATTTATCAGTAACTTGTCGTATTTAACAATTTTGCCTATCAAAAAAATTGTTGAGAAATCATACAATACTTATCTTAACGTTTCGGAGGCCAAAATCTGCCTCCGTCTTCAGAAATGAACAAAAAAATTCTAATGTATTGGCAGTTATTCCTTTTTGATTATTTATTTCTTTACTTCTTCGACAGATGTCAAAGGAGTTTTGAAATATGAAAAGGTCGATGAAAAACTGATTTTCCTCGACAAAAAAATGACTTACGTTGAATATAAAATTATTCCATTGCCTGTTACTGTACTTGCCTGTTATTCCATTGTCTAATATTATATGAAATGATTTGAAATTTCTGAAAGAACCAATACAAATGAAATATTAAAAACAATAGCTGAAAATAACAATTATATCAAGCAAAAAAACCCTGAAATGAAATTATAGTGATATTAAATACAAGTGAAAGATAGAAAAATTCAAGACGCTTGTGGATACTAACAATCCTAACGTCGTGAAGTTACTTGGCTTGGAATCTCTCAATTTTTTTTCTTTATTGTTCTATTTTTTACTTGTATTTTATTCCACTATAATTTCACGTCAGGGTTTTTTTTGCTTTATATAGATATTGTTTTCAATTTTTCATTTGTATTGGTTCTTTTAGGGATTTCAAATCTTTTTGTATAATATAAGACAATGGAAATTCGAACTAATGGAATTAAGTTTCATTCCGCATGGCGCACAAGAGAACCACCACTTGTCTTACTGAAATGCGCATGACGCATTTATTTGCGCACCATGAACCAGTTTACAAGCAACCGGTTAGTATTATTTTAGCACTGTAGATATAATTAAGTGAGCTTCTTGTACGTAGCATAACTTATGGAAAACTGTTAGTTCTTGAATTTTGTAAATATTATAGTGATAAACACGCAGTTTTAGTAGAAATAAAATGAGAATACACTACAAAAACACACTTTTGTCTATTTTCCACGATATTTCTTTATTGTTGACTAGTTTCGGCTATTACACCATTTTCAAAACTAACTGATTACATTTAAATCTGAGTAATTTATACCTAAATTGCCTATCCTATCATAAATAATTTGGTACCTACATTTTGTATACCTGTAATATTCATGAACATAACAAAACGAAGCTTTTGATATAATCTAGGTATTGGGATTATAGGTTCAGGAGAGGATTATTATTCAGATCAAGTTGTTCGTTGAGGATAATAAAATTGGGATTTTTCTTTGACCTGTTTACTTTCATAGATTCCAACATATCCATCATTTTCCCTTTTTCGCATGTGTGAAGGATCTTTAAGATATCTTTATCTATTTTATGTTTCGAATTTACCACAGCATGGGACAAGAAGAAGACTACCTGCATGAACCCCCGTCCACCTGAGATGTATGGACTAATTAAACTACACAAAGAAGGTAACCCAGCCAGACCGGTAGTTTCATATACCAATACCCCTAATTATAAGCTGTCGAAATTCCTAAATTGCAAATTCAGGAAGATCATTAATTTCAAACCTTCTCACACCATACTGAATTCTATAGACTTGACAAACAAACTCCACAACATAAAAATCAACAAAAACATTAAATTAGTATCGTTTAACATCAAGAACATGTTTCCAAATTTTCCAACAGATGAATGCCTTCCCCTGATAGAAAACATATTAGATAGACATAATACTAACCCATATGTCAACAGTGAACTGTTCAACACGTGTTTAAAACAAAACTATTTCAAATTTAATAATACATTTTTTATACAAAACTCGGGCCTACCGATGGGATTACCGATGAGTCCGTTACTAGCTGATATCTTCCTAAACAATTTAGAGAATAATCTAATTTTGAATAACTCTCTTTCCCATAAACATATTGTGTTCTGGTTTAGATATGTAGATGACATATTAGTAGGCTTCGATGNGGCAAAATGAACCTTATAACTTTTATATGAAAAATTTCATGATACTCCTCAATATAGGCGCGATACTGCACTTCCTCACACTAATGTGTGTATGTCTTCTATGAATCGAGGTCATTTATGCATTCAAACCAAGCACTTTTCCCAAACAGTTCACTTCATCTTCTGTAGACATCAACTCAGTAGATGAAATGCGTGTGGAGAGTTATTCAGTTCTGGTGTTTGGAAAAAGTGCTTGTTTTGGATTTATTCTACGCCATAATTTTCAGTGATACCTTTCGTCAATTATAGAAACACATTTTGGCAATACCTTGATAACATTTGTATAAAACATTTTTTCAAACAAGAACCTCCTCTGGTTTGATGGAACAAAACGGTCTGGAGTTAAAAGTGAACTGTGAACAAATTGAACTTCTGACGGTACAGAAGTTAATGATTTTTCGTAGGAAAGATTATTTTCATTGAGTCCAGCCAAGAATTTGTGTTTCTGTCTAGCACCACTGATAAGACCTACGGCTGGTCGAAACACTGCTGTCTGGTTTTTAACTAGCTACCCTGCAATGGAAGACAGATGAGGAATCTCGTCGGCGGTCGAAGTCGAAGCTTGGCTTTCCAACTAACCGTGGAGAGGTTATCTTTGGTATTCGAGAATTGACTTCTCTGTCGATCTCATAGATGAAGAGAGATCTTGAAGAGATATGTCATCGCCCTTATTTACTAAATACCACGTATTCTATCTTAAAAACAGATTGAATACATTGTAATCGTTCAGTAATCTCGACATGTCACCTATATATTCACTATCACAATTATGACAAGGGATTAAGTGAACTTATTTAGGAATGAAGTACTTATGTTGAAATTCATGTGATATTGGATTTCGATAAAATTGAATCACAGATAAAATCAATTCATTGTGTTGGAAACTGTGGAGATTGTTGAAGATTAGGGATTTAGGGATCAAAACAGAAAAAGAGAATAATTGGAAAAGTTCGTGAACTGAAGGATGCATGAGAGTTCAAATAGTTACAGGAGGGTTATGAAAATATAAAATGTTGAACTTTGAGAAACAGTTATTGCTGACAGAAATAATAAATATGAGTTGTTTGACAGTTAGAACTGAAGTAGGATGTCGAAATAATTTTTTGAAAGAAAGAAATAAGATGGAATCGGCCGATACTCACATCACACGTTAAAAGGTGAGACCTCGTTAGTCCTTAGCTCGCACTAGTTTCGACTTCTGAGGGTTGTCGTTCGTAGGGGTGCGACAGCTGGTTAACGGAAAAACAGATTTTAAACAGATTTCTTTAAACAGTTGCACTACACACACTCTTTCTGTATGAAAAAAGTCATTATATTATGCAAACCTGTTACTTTTGCAATAGGCAAATGCCCGTCATCGTTATAGATTTTCAATAGCGTAATCGGTTTTCCTGTAACATGAGAAATGAAACTCTCTATGTTTTTTACCACTTTTATTTGTAGCTATCGTTACTACAGTTTCGCCCTGTATGGACATTTTCATACTAATACATGAAACATAATATTAGTTTGAAAATGTCCATATAGGACGAAACTGCAGTAACGATAGATACTAATAAAACTGGTGAAAAATATATAAAGTTTCATTTTTCATGATAAACTTCCACCACGTAGAAATAGATAAAGTCTATTTTCTTTTCCAGAATGTTTGATTTGTTTGAGTTACAGAAGACTCACCTTTTCTGAATACGATCGTGTCAGGAATACTATAAATATCGTTATTTCCTATGTTTAGTTCTATAGAAATCAGTTACTTATTCAAAATTCGACTGTATTCAAAATAACGGAAGGTTACGATTAATATTGAAATAAGTCTCTGGAGAACGGTTCTTTATGTCATTTTTCCTACTGAAAAATATGGGTTCGGTAAAACTTACTGTAAACATGCCAGCCTATTTACACCATCAATATTCATACCACAAGAACCACATATACCTTCCCTGCAGGATCTTCTGTAAGAAATGCTGGAATCTTGTTCAGTTTTGATTTTATTCAAGGCGTCAAGGACCATGGGCCTACAACTAATTGATCATTCGTGACTAGTTAATTAAAATGTGTTACTGAGACCAAACTCACTCATTCAAGTCTATTGTATATAATTGCATTTGAGGTTTCTTATTCTTATCTTGCGGATTATACCGATAAATTTTGAACGTCTTTAACTTTGGTTTTTTATCAGTTTTTGTTTTCTTGTCAGTTTCAACTTTACTGGATAAACTCCGGAGTCTCAAAATTTTAGAATCTGAGCAAACTCTACGCATGAAACTCCCAGCTGAAAACATTATTTTTCTGATAATAATATGAACTTGACAATTTCAAATTCAAAAACTACATGCTTGTCATTTCGAATTATCAAACTGACAATCAATCATCAAACTGACATTATTTTCTTTTATGATCAGAATAATTATTACACATTGCTCGATTATGGTGTTCAATTCAATTCAATTCAAAATATACTTTATTGTCCGAAGAATAAGTTCTGATTACTTATACATTAATGTATAAGTTTGAAAATGTCCTTATAGGATGAAACTGCAGTAACGTTAGTTACAAATAAAAGTGGTAAAAAACATAGAAATTTTCATTCCTCTTTTCATTAAGTTCCTATTTTATATATAAATAAGGATACCACAGTTAGGATTCTGTTAGAGGCAAAAAGGGACTGACAAGAGTGCCTAGGCTTGGCTTTACATATGCATCGTATTGCACGTTTCTGTATCAGTAATACTGATTGAAGGCATGTGGTAGAACACACACCCCAAAAGCAAATACGAGAACGAAGATGGGATTCAAAAAGGGAATGATAAAACCATTCTTGCTACTGCAGATCCAAGCTCTAATGCAGTTACTCGTATTGCATAACATTCAGAGGAGAGCTTGGATTTCAAGCTATTTACATGTTGTTACGTTATAAATTCTTATAATTATAATCTTGGTCTGAACGATGATATTTCACCTTTATCTTAGATGAGTAACAAATTTATTCATATGGTCACTTCTAACAAAAAAATATATGTTACTGTGGTGATTGGTTAAGAATGACCACTCGGCTAGCCTAGCGGTTTTGTAGGGGGTAGGTAAGGTAAATGAATCCACCACTAGGGTGATGTTTTGAAATCAACCTGATTTATCAATTTATAAATCAATAGACAACAATAAGTATAGAAAAGCCTACTGAATCTAATTAAGAACAAATAAGAGCTTGTGTGATCACACCTCATCTACAATGGCAGCTACCCCAGTTGTATATGAAATATTGTTATAAAGATGAAACATATGAACAATATGAAACCGACAATTACTAATTCGGTGAGATGGCTGTCTGCAAAGCGGATGTCACTATTATGTGCACTATAGTCTATGCATAGCATGCATGAAGCGTTCGGTGTGATCAAGCTAACTGGAAATTCTTCGATGATGACTATTACTGGTTGTTATTCAGCTGTTGTCTGTCGCGTAAGCAACAAGGACGGTTGCAGCATGCAGGAATTGTAAAATATGATAACTCACCCCAGGCGTTACCTAGCACTTATCTTGTTATAACTTATTCCTGCAATATGGAGGGCTGCTAAACTGCTTTATGCCATGCAGTGTAGAAAGCAGGGGTGACTTCGGAATGAAGTTGGCCTGGAACCTTGGATCCGACAATCTGTCGATGATGTCGCAAGAAAACACTCAATCTTGCGCCTTGAATTATCTGCTCTGTTTGAAACTCGAAATGCTTTTAGTAATTGGTAAAAACCACAAATTCCACCATAAAATACAGAGAAGACGTCTTGCTCCCATGCACAACCATTACTGACTGCCCCTCCTCTTTTTTTTTCCTTCCTGTCCCCTTTTTATGCTTCTCACAATACACTGGAGTTACCTACATCTATTCCTTTGTTCTATATGTTCTAAAATTCGTGGAAAATCCAATAACAACAGTTGCGACCATTAACGGTTGCGTAACGTCACTTGTAATACGTTTAAATAACTAAATTCAAATATTGCCGCCCGGAACTTGAATTGACCAGCTCAGTCATCTACAATCAGTGACATCCAATACCTACTGAGCAGCTGACAAGAATTTGACAAACGACACGTATAAAGTTTACAATTTACTAATTAATTCTATATCTGATTCTGTACAATAAATATTCGTTAGGTAAGTAACAAGTTATACTACTACATAATATTAAATCATTATATTTCTCTGATTTATTTTTTGAATGTTATTTCCAGGTACTATTGGACCAGTGACTAATCGACCACAAAGAATGTAAACAAATTACAGAAATCGGATCAATTTTCAAAAATTATTGCTACGAGCATTCAAATGGATGCATATTCACTGAAATTACCGATATAATATAGGCATCCTACCATCGGCAAACGAAACGTGGCCAGATAGTGTTCGAGTGATAATTCCTGATACTGAACAAAATTGTTTTTAATAAGAGACGACTTGATGATACAAATACTGTGCATTCTGTTACGGTTCTTTGTGCATCTAGATATACTCTTTCTCTTGTGTTTTAAATGCTATGTTTGATATGCTACCCATTATACATCTCCCCGGTGAACTGGTTGTCTATTTGAAAAGTGAAGAGTACCCATGAATTATTCCTTCAAATGTTTGTTACGTGGCAATACTTTGGCACGTAACAATGTTTAATGAATTTTTAATCATTGTCAATGAACAAGCCAAGGAATTTAGAAGTTGGTACGTTGTCAATTTGAATATTATTTGGATGTACAGCTGGAATCTGGCAACGATAGAACACTACTTTTGTTTTTGATGGATTCAAGCTCAAGATATTTGAGTCAAACCAGTCTTTCACTTTCGTTATGTCACTCTCAATAACTTAATACAACGTATGGTTGTTAGGGGCATGCCATAAAATTGTGGTATAATCAGCAAATGAAGTAAATTTTCCTTGGATGTTATTAGACGATAGGTCATTATTGTGAACTGAGAATAGAAGTTGGTCCAGAACCGAACCTTATGGGACGACGCAAGTAATTTTACCTTCATTTAAGTATGAAGTGGGTTTTAACCATCTGGGTGCGATCTGCTAAGTATGACTCAAACCACTTAAGACTTGATCCAGTTATATAGTATCTACTGAGTTTCCGTAGAAGAATTTTGTGATTCATGCGATCAAATGCTTTGGCTATTATATCATTTATGTTGAAATAAAAATTGTAAAGAAATGGACGTATGGCATCGGAAGTGTTTTTGTGCTTTTTGGAAACCAAACTGGCAATCACTAATTATTTTGTTTTCATTCAGAGTCTTGTTTCAAGTAATTTTGCTATCAATTCATTCATTGCAGAGATTAGAGAAATTGGCCGAAGACTTGATGGACCATTGATGACCTCACCCTTTGATAGTGTTAACAAAATCGACTTCTTCAAAAAAACTGAAAAGATTCTTTCTCTGAATGAATCATTTATTAGACCAACTAATATATTGAGTATTTTCATAGAAATTATGTCTAGAATTTTTATCGAGATTTCATCTGAACCTCTGGAGTTTTTATTTTTATGAAAAATAATATTTCATATAGTTTGGTGATATTTATGTCATATAATATTGAGGTGATCGTAACTTCAATATTCACTTACCAGTTGCTTTTATAGTTCTCGTCAAGTCCTCGGCAATAGAGCAATAGAAGTCATTAAGTTCAGTAGGAGAAAACGGAATGTCTACAAGTGTCTCTTGCCAGTAAGTTCATTAATGATATACCAAAATCCGTTTGATTCATTCGTAGCTTTATCCATTCTACTTTTATGATAGTTGCTTTTGGCTAGTTTGACTACATTTCTGTAAATGGTGCGATAGCGTTTATCAAAGAATTCTATATTATTCCATTCAGAGCTCAGACACAAGTTACAGAACTTCTTATAATGAGCAGAACTATAAAATCGTCCTACCTTGAATTTCGATATTTTCACAGTAAGATTGAGAACACCTTAGAATAAACTACTTCGTGATCTGACAATCCAGAACTAGCTTTGGGTCTAAGTTTGCACAGAAATAATCTATGGTGGATTTTGTGAATTCAGACATAAGTGTAGGAGATTTCACATTCATTTCCAAATTAAATGTTTCTAATAAATTGATTAAAAACTGTGTTGCTTTTGAATTTTGTTCTGTGTAATTAATATTCAAGTTTCCAGTTTAAATAATTTTTGCTTTTGGAGGTAATTCAGAGAGAATAGATTCCAGCCCGTCAAGTAATTGAAAAGGATCACTAGAAAGTGATCTGTAAAAACACATTATATAAGTATTCATTTCAGAAGAGAAGGTTATCAAAAATTCATTGACTCTTCCTTCAAGAAAATGATTAAATGTATCCACTGCAACTAATTTGATTTACTCCTGTATCATTATTTCAAGTCTTCGCACATGATATGATAGTTTTTTAATCAAATTTTTCTGTAATAAGTTTTTTTTTCAGCTAATCTGACTAGCACAACTACGTTAGCACATAAAATTGCATACCTATTGGCCACATATTGATTTCATATATGGTGAATTTCAAGAGAGTTTCAAGATTTATAGTTTCACATGATCATAAATGTATTTTTTTTCCACAAAACACATATTTGATAATATTACTCATTACTCATATATACTTCATCACTTCCGAATTTCATTAGTTTTGTTGTTTTGTCTTAGATTCAATTGAGCCTTTGGACCACAATACGTATGTCGGGTTTTGATTCTAAATTCAAATACTTGAGGGATCCCAACCCATTTATAGACTAACGAAATTATTTTCATAAACAATCAATTCATCAACAACACTAGAAACAGTAAAAGCAACATAATTATAATCCAAATGAAACTGTTGTGTTCATGGGGAAATCATGGAATTACCACATTCCTTCTTTCCCCCAGGGACAGAATTAGCAATACATCCCAGGGTATATATGAAATTTCATACTCCGATTGATTGCTATAGAACATATGCAGGCCAGACCAACAGACGTGTAACTTATTGTCCGAAAGTCAGACCCATCCTCAGCCCTGTGCAAACATCATCAGTGGACGGGACGAAATATAGACTTTGCGAACACAGCAAAAACACTACAAAATCGAATAATTCGCAACGCCGTCGAAATCGAAAAGCGACCTTCCTGTCTGAACAAACGTGATGACGGTCAGAGACTTCGAACTACCTGGAGACCATTAATTTTCCGATGTTTACCTTCCACCAAGACGTCCGGTGATGGTAGCTCCCGCCGATATAATTACCACCGAATACCCATCGATACCTCAATTCAATCCGAGGAGAAGGTAGATTGAGACTTCACAGAGAACGCGTGAGAAAACCTATAGGAAGTGGGCAAATTGAGGCTCCG